GTGTAGCGTCGAATGCGTTTCCTGATATTGAGTCGGTCGGTCGGATTGAAAAAAAAACCTAAAAAACAAAATCACAAGAAGTCTCGGAATAGGAGGCCCTGGTACCCCAGGACGACGTTAAAAGTTAACATTCACATATTTGGATTAACAAAATACACAATATACTGTAAAAAATGTTTATGTCTTTGTTCCTGTTTTCTCTATACTGTTACTATGCTCATTTTTCAGATTAAAAGAATTATTTCAAGTGGAAAATGGTTTAACTAGGTCGTTACTTTTTTTTTGAAAATGCCAAAAACTTGGGTCGGTCGGACGACGCTAAACGGAGAAAAAAAAGAGGATGGCCTGTCTTCTAATCACAGCTGCCTTGCCAGGCAAATTCAATGTTTTTGTGCATCAGCTTAGCTCTATTGCAATCAAAAATGCGTTACTGGGCTAACTAAAAAAATTTTGCGCTATCTGTTCTAGGCAAACGACAACTGCCTTACAAGGCAAACTGATTTGACTTTGCAAAGCTTGGAAACTTCAACATAAAAGAAACTTGGACCTAAAAAACAGCATTAAGAACAATTCAGCCTCTATTAAATGAGAACTTAGGAAAAGTAAGCTACAGCCAAAGTTGTCTGGTTCTTATGAAAAAAAGTGTGACAGATATCTTATATTTTAAATGCATTTGAATTACGCTTTGAAAGTTGATTCTATTACTTGTTTTCGACAACAGCTATTTTATTTGACTGAATTAAATTCAACACCTGAAATTAAACCAAGTCTCTCAGTTGCTACAGTTGCGGTACAGTACAGAAAGCTCTTGCAGCCATTTTTGTCTCGTCACGCAATGCTCCTCCTCCTTTGTTGGCGAAGAGTGTTGCGTGACGAGACAAAACACGGCTGCGATCGAGGGAGACTAGCTCAGCACGGAAGTAACACGACGTTTCAACCGTTATTTCATTAATAGTAATAATAATAAGAAGAAGAAAATAAATATTATTACTATTATTAATATCAATATTGATAATAATAATAATAATAATTCACATGAAGATCTGGATCAGCTACTGATAACTGAGCCACAATACCGATTTTGAAATAGCATGCACGACGTTATTTCGGAAATTATTACATTTTGCGTTATTACATTATGCGTTAGAAAAGTTATTACAATTTGCGTTGAAAGATTATTACATTTTGCGTTGAAAATTTTATTACATTTTGCGTCAATGTTATTACATTTTACGTTAGTATTACATTTTGCGGCGATTCTTATTACATTTTGCGTTAATTTAAGAATTTGTTCATGCTTAGTGTGCGTATATCGAGTTATGGATGCACGCGGGAAGTTTGGAGAGCACGAAAGATGCGTAAGAGTTGCACGAGGCGATAGCCGAGTGCAACTCTAGCTTCTTGAGTGCTCTCCAAACTTCCCAAGTGCATCCATAACTCGATATACGCACAGCTAAAAGCATGAGCAAATTCTTTTATAACACAGCTGACAAAAATGCTTGCTTTTTGATTAACTGCAAAATTCTCGTAACGCGCTACAAAATAACAAACGGTTCTATTGGCTGATTACGAACACGCCACAATCGTCTAGTTTGAAATGAATGAAAATGTTCTTTCTGTAAGACTGAGAAAGAGAATTTGCTTCTTTATTCGTTAACGATCAATGGAAACTAAGCAGAAACAAAGATACAAGAGTTCTTAAAGTTCACCTAAAGTTAAAATACTAACATGTTCGTAAGAAGTCGTAGTAAGTCGTGGAGTATGGTTTGGATTTGCTGAAAAAATGTTTACGGTGAAATCCAGAAAACATGCTTTTAGCGAAGACGACTGTCATCCTTCTTTAAACTTATATTCATTTACGAGCATTGGCTGGTCATTACGGCTTCTTGAGAAGACCTGGCAGCAGTTGTTTTTGTGAGTAATAAATTTGTGTCTTCTTGTGTAATTTGTGTTGTTATTGCGAGAGAAATTTTCCTGCTTCAGTCGGATTGTCCGGAGATAACAAAAATGCGTAACAAATTTAAAAACAACAATAAAAACGGAAATTTTACCCTTAAATCTTGTTGATGACCAGTTGGTGTCTGTTCTGTTCCCAGTGAATGTCTTTCGGTCAAAATTTGCTGCAGCTGGTCTTCCGACAAATTTGCGAAAAGCGCAATTTGCGAGTTTTTTTTAATTCGGCTTTATTTTTGCTGCTTGTTGAATCAGGACCTAAAAGGTCAATGCCGATGCAAATATTGGGCAGTTCTTCGCTGGTTTCTTCCATATTTTAAAGAGAAGGAAAACTACACTGCAGCTTAGAAGACGACATAAAACATTCATAAAACACCGTGAAATCTGGAAGAAAGGTCAATTTAAGCACTAAAAACTGCTCCGATATCTCAGAATTATAAGATAACTAGAAAAATTGCTCAGAATGCAAAAAGTTGCTCGGAACGGGAAACGTTGCTCCAAATATAGTTGCCAAAATGTTGCCAAGCAACTTGTGGTCGAAAGCCCTAATTGCGGTTTTTGTTTCTAAGGGACCGCTTTACATGACGTTATGAATGATGTTATTTGGCACGAATTTACAATTTTTATCCCGCGCATTTAGAATTGCCCTTTGACATGTAAACATGTCGAATCAATGGGGTCTTCGTTTTAGTCCAAGGGGTCTTCGTTTTAGTCCAAGGGGTCTTCGTTTTAGTCAAAGGGGTCTTCGTTTTAGTCCATGGGGTCTTCGTTTTAGTCAAAGGGGTCTTCGTTTTAGTCCATGGGGTCTTCGTTTTAGTCCATGGGGTCTTAGGTCTTAGGTCTTAGTTTATGGGTCTTCGTTTTAGAAACACCCCACAGAAAATTCCACATGAGTACATTAGAATGTATGGTGTTCACAATATCAAGAATCGCGTGCTGGGTACTATGTTTATTGCGAAAGCCATATTGTAAATCATAAAGATTATCATTCTTGTCTATAAACTTTATCAGTCTACGATATAAAAGTTTCTCAAATAAACGATTATAAATTGATAACAAAGAAATTGGCCGATAGTTTTCAGGTAACGTCTCGTCTTCACCCTTATACACCGCAATTACTTTTGCATATTTAAGTTTTGCAGGGTAAACTCCAGTTAGTACAGACTGGTTAAAAATTTCGGTTAATGGTATGGATATGACTGATTTAGCAAGTTTTAACAGTTTAACAGGGGTAAAATAAAGTTATTGTATGGCAACAAGCTAATTTCTGTTTCAATTTCTTGTGGTATAATTGGATCAAAATAAAAACTGTTCTGTAAAGGTGGATCAAGATAATCAGAAAAAGTAGTGTTAACTTCAGGAATATCAGTTGCAAGTTGATTCCCTATTGATGAGAAGTATTTGTTGAGTGTGTTACCAATCGTTTTAGGATCATCTGATAAAACGCTATGCCCGTAAGAACGAATGAAGTTAATTCTTTCCGATTTTTCCTTTTCTTCGCATCTCCCAATAGATCAGGCATTTTTTATGATAAAACGTGATCTGTTCGTTTCAACAATTACAATCAAATTACTTTAGTGTTGAACAGTGCTAGTTTTATTGTCTTTACCCTTACTGCATCAGTCAATTTCAGCTGCGCCCAGCCCCCCACCTCTCCGGGCTACTGCGGGACATTTGCCCTCCTTTTCAGTCCCGAGGATGGGGCATTTGCAAATTTTGCGCCGCCCGGGACTGGACATTTGCCAAACCTGGGGCTATTCCCGAGCTTTTGACATGCACGCGGTTTCCTATAAGTACACAGAAGATATAACTGGAAAAAAAGCAGATTGACTCATCTGTCCAGGACAGGGGGTTGTAAAGGCATGTTCTCGATTTTATGCATGCATTTCTTCATTGCTTATCAAGACAGAATTACATAGCGAAACTCCGGAGATATCGACGTGAATCAACATTTTTTGGTTATAATGAATCAAATTTCTGTTGATATTATTATTTGAAGAACATCCTTTCATATTTATAAAACTATTCATAACATATAACTTTACAGCGCTCTATTAATTTTAATGTCAATAATTTTATATCAATACTAAAACCATAAACTGGTGCATGTCGTCGCGGCGTGAAGTCTTGATTAGAATCCTAGCGCTATTACCAAGGAAGACGTTAATTGAAACAAAAAATCGCACATTAAAATGTTTAAAACGGCACTATTCGACTGTGCGATCAATGAAAAATGTTGCAGTGTTGACGGAGGACGGGGCACTTACACTCTTTTTTCGTCTCCACCCCGGGGGATTTGACAGCTCAAGAGTCCCCACCCTCGGGAATTTGCCATCCAAGGCAAAAACAATGCTAATGCCCGGGGGTCAGCCCGGGGAGGGGAGGCTGGGCGCAACTGGAAATGACTGATGCATTATACAACAAGAAGAGCTAATGGTATGGCATCCAAGTGAAGTGAAAAGAACCACGATTCGAGTTATTAGGGTAAATTTCAGTCTTCTTTATCAAGGGAAAAGATATTTAGTTTGAGTTAGCGGGGAATTCGAGTTATCAGACGAATTCCGAGTTAACCGAGTAAAAGTGACTAAAAAGTGAGGTTAAATCCAAGAGAAATTGGACTTCGTTCGAGTTAGCGGGGAGTTCGAGTTATCGGGGTTCCACTGTATCTTATTTCGTCAGCAGCAATCAAAAGTATCTTCTGTTTAAAACAATCAATTTCATACCCATACCTAAACTGGAAAGATTTTCAGAAAAAGGTCGGATATGAAACTGGAGGTTTTGTATCGACGATTTTCACCAGTCTGACGTGACCAGTCCCTTTCTACGTCATCCAATAGAAGTGTTTTCTTAGTTGTTTTTAGGCTATAACTTCCTCGTTTCGTTTATTTTTGTTTCCAAGGTTCCCACGCAACATGAGCATGATATTTGTAGGGGGCAAATGACTGCCACACTTGTGTATTGCTGTCTGAAACGCAGGAAATGCGAAAGAGCCTTTTCATTATTCCACATATAAATCGGTAATCTCAGACGAACAACTTCGTCTTTACGACCACAAAAATGTTTAAGAACTTTAATTTGGTGGTTTTGACCTTGTGGATCACTCTACCTAAACCAGGTAAATGAGAGTTAGTTATGTCTAGCTAGCTATTTATCATATGACAAATGTTTATGTAATATATTATTACCTCAGTTGTCGTTAGCCATTGATCGTTTATAACAATGTTTTTCGTCAGTACCAACTTCTCTCTTTTAAACTTCTATTTATTTGTTGACTGTTAAGATACACGATTTTCGATCTACGTATTCACATATTGAGAAATTCACAAAAGAACGAGTGAGTATTGACGTAGTATTACTCACAAGACGTGAAGACTTAGTGCAATGCAAAATTCCTACGACGGATAAAATTTACACTACTATTTAGACCCATGGGCATTCAAAATTCTCTTATTATAACCTTCTTTTTCTACTGGGAGAGATAAGGTTCGCTTATCTCATGGTTCATGGTACCATGTGAAGCAATACAATAAAGGCTCAATATTGCTTACTACTGTGTACAGTTACTTATGAGATATCTATTTTTTTTTTTGGCGCATTGGTGATACAAGTTTTTGAGTATATCTAAGACAACAACTGAGAGACGCTTTCAATCCCCTTTTCTGTAATTTCTTTCTCCCATATCATCTACTTAATTAAAAGAGGTTTTGAAATAATTGGTGAATGTTTGTGCATGGTAGTCAATATTGAGTTAGGATCAGTTAATACTTTTGGTGGTTTGGAAATCCGGCCGTGACCTGAGGACAAGACAAAGCCAGTGAACAAATGCAACAACAATAACATGGACAACAACAAAAAGTAGCTTTTGCAATATCTTATATTCATTCAGTCTTGCAGAGAAAAGGAAAGTTTACAATAATAAACAAAAACGATTTTTGAGCGTTAACAAGTGCGCGTTTATCGAAGCTAGACAAGATAAATATTATCGACTGAAGATTAACAACATAATTTAGAAAAATTATTGAATTCGAGCCTAATTTGGCTTTCGTAGAATGTGAAGAATTATGCAGATCTCGGAGTATGTTATCTATCGAGGCTGAAGGCCAAGGTGGATAACATCCTTCGAGATCTGCATAATTCTTCACATCCTAGGAATGCCGAATTCAATAACTGTTTTATTATTCATTCAAAATATAAGTTCTTAACAAGCTTTCCACCTCTTAGACTTTCTTCTAAACTTTGGCCTATTTTTCGGCACAGTTTCAGGATATAAACAGAGGTTTTTTTCGCATCAAAAAGAATATAACATTCAACTAGCAATATGTTTTGGGTATTCTTGCTTTCCTTCCATTCAGGTTTAGTCAGAAATTCAGCTGTTTCGTTTCGGATAACCGTGAATACCATTTTTTTCGTTCACTCGTGAATAAACAGCTAGGTCGCCGCGCCTGGAAACGAGGTTGATCGATGGTCTTTTGCCCTAACAGCCTCGTTTTCAATCAAATATACCATCGATTACCCTCGTTTACGATCAAATATACCATCGAATCGATGGTATATATATCGCTCTCATCGTCCAAATTTGGTCAGCGCCGGTTGGTTATGAAGGATTAGTCGGCGGATTGGAGCCAATCAGAAACGGAGAAATAATTTGAATGAATAATAATTCCAGTTACTTAGTTTGCACTGTAAAATTAACCCTTTAGAGCAGAATATTTAATAGGGGAGTTGAAAGGAGGCATTTAAACTTCGAGAGATCTGCACTGAGTATTGCAACGCTTGTAGTTTTTCCTCCAGTCTCATAAAGATAACAGACCTCCAATGAAACTTATAAAACTGAATGCATGAATACAAAATGAAGAAATATGTAGATCTCACGAAAAAAAATCTATCTCTCATTGAAACCATAGTTAGGAGAGGACACTGGTTAGGAAACCCGGCAAACATCAAAGTTGAAAACAATGGTGCTGTAGTTTATGTTGGAAGCTCCCTGACCGTGCACAATCCTTTGTTTTCTGTTCACAAATTATGACTGAATAAATTAATGCGATGTTTCTATTGGTCAATAACTTCAAAATGATAGGAATGCTATTGAACGTTATGCACGGACAGGTCCAAAAAAGCTAACAAACACCTAACAAACAACAAAGGGTTTCCCAACCATTCCATTTTAATTAACTATGTTGGAACCAAACCCTTCAACACTCAGAAAAACGTAACTTTTAACAGTATTACACAATCAAAGAAACTAATATATAGATTTAGCCAGGGCTAAAGGTGAAGCTCTCGATAATTTTTATTGTTTGCTCAAACAAAATATAAAATCGTATAACGCTGAGTGGCGAAAGCAACTAGAACGGTAAAAAAAAATCAACAACAGGTCTAATTAGCAAAAAAGCAACTTTGCACGTGCAGCACGTTTTTTTAGTACATTTCTTTGCCGTTGTTTTGCACGACTGTTAAGTGAAACTTCCATGCAGAAACTTCCTAGTTACACGTTTTATGGAGGGAATGTCGGACGTGTTCTTGTTCAATCTTTTTTGACTATCACTCATTTTCACCCGGGTGGCCGCTAGCATCTCGCTGCTACAAAACTTCATTTTGTTCCTCCAACAGGAAATGTCTCCTTTTGTTTTTTTTTCTCTCTAGTTCTAGCTCCTTTTCTCGTTGAGCTTGGCTGGCCTGTCGCCCTACTTTCTCTTTTTCTCTGTCTTCCTCTTTCTCTATTTTCCAAATTTGTGGACATGACAATTAACCTAAGCCTAAGGTGATTCCTTAGTAAAAGAACCTAACATAGATTGTGGATGAAACTTGGTACACTGATGTAACAAGTCAAGATGATGATAAAAAAGGTAATAAAAAGTGGGGTCACCGTGCTTCTTTTTTTTTTGACGTCACAAGGCTGACTAATACAGCTATTTAGGACCCCATGCAGCCCAAAACTAAACAAAAAGGAGAGATTTTTTCGATGATGCATTTGGTATCGCACAGAATTTGAATTAAATGTATTGTTTATCCACTTAAGTACCAGAAAAATGCCTTTTTTGCCCTTCTTTTTACTTTACGCTCCAAAGTAGACTTAATTTTGACACGCGCTACTGGAACCATTATAGCTCAATCCGCACAATTTAGTAAAATTGTCAAAAAACTGAACATAGATTATTACCAGTTTTTTTCCCATTGGAAGGAAGCACTGGTCTTATTAAAATCATGAAATAAAATATGGGGTTCACTGTACTCCTTTTTACGGCAGTGCTGCAGAAAGTACGCACCAAATGCATTTTCTCCGATTTTTGAGAGAGGACTGGGGCGAGTTTCAGAAGGCATGTATGTGGAAGGGGGAAGAAAGCATTAAAAAATCCGTTTTTTCAGAATTTACATCGAGATATCACAGTTAGGACGTAATTTGATAAAGATGGCGCTTAAATGAAAATCAAAGTGAGTTAGCAGGAGTTTAACTTCTGTTATCGAGGTTCTCCGTGAGGAAGTCGAACTGAGCAACACGCGTACTGCTTACGTTATGCACATTTCCCAACACATAGAGTCTCATTTTGGCAAGAAACAACCGCTAGCAAAAATTCTTATAGCGCTTCTCTTTAGTTAACTTTATTTTAATAATGTTACTTTAGATGCTCTTTTTCACGGCAGCCATCTTGTTATGCGCAGTAAGAGATGCGCAGTGCAAAACCAGTGAATCACCTTAATACTTTAAAAAAAAACAACACGGATACCGAAACATTTTCCGCTTTCCGTTTTCGTCTTTATTGACTCTTTAGTTGTGTCTGCTTCACAAGACGCGGGTGGCCATAAGCGTTCCCGCCAAAATAACCTGACATTTGGCATCGGCTTACATGTAGTGGGTGTACGGACGGTCGTTCGTAGAATACGTCATAACCAAATTTTCTCGGATGGATAGTTTACCAAATTTTCTTACCCATGGTGCTCCGCTAGCGCGCTTCGCGCGCGAGAGCTCTGCTATCATAGCCCCCTGTTTAATTACCCTCACGAGAAAAAACCTTTCTAGGAAAGTATTAGTGAAACTAAGAATTAGCAGTCACAAACCTAAGACTTGAAACAGGGATCTAAGATACTGACAATACACCACGTTATGAAAGGCTATACAGTAAAAAATTGAAGATCAAACTCACTTTGTACTAGATTGCCCAAGCTATTATGTGAGATATGTTCCTTAGTACGAAAATAGAAACTAAAATGCCGTTTCCAGGACTGTTAACAAAAGAACCTTTCTTACCAAATGTTATGAATTCAACTGACCATTTCATAAAAATTCAATTAAATCTATTCATTTCATCACACTTCGAATTGAGAGACAAACTTGTCCCGGAATAACTACTCGTACTATATGAACAGCTTTACTTTTTTTATTTTAAGTCGTTTTGATTAATTAAAGAATCAAGAATTAGTTATAAGTAGCTTTGCAAACTATAAAACTCTTCTATTATAGTCATGTCAATAAAGCTTATTATTGTTGTTGGCTCTCGCTGACTGAAGAATGATACGAAAAGGCCAGTAGGGGGGAAGAGAAAAACTCTCCTTGTCTCCTTGAAACTTGGAGACAATAATGAGCAAAAAAGAAGGCAAGTCATTGCTAAACAAAAAACAGGTCCGCTCTGTGGGCGTACATGTGGCGAGAGTATAGATTAATGGTCGAATAGTGAAAAGAAGAATATTACTTTTAACTGTTTTAAAGTTAAAACGTCCTTTTTTGGAATGTGTTAGTCGCATAAAAGTTAACCTTTAAAAAAAATTTTTTAGCAATAAATTGTTATGTAGGGAGTATCAATATGGCTTTTTACTAGTTTCTGTGTCTAGTCTGATGGCTGATGGACCCCATTTTACCTATTTTCCGACCTTAATCTCGCTCCCAGAGTCCGTGTTACCATAGTCCAGTGGAACAGACAACGGGGACTCCGGGAACGAGATTGTTCCGACCCAGGAAAGGTCGTTCGATGAAACCTCTGTTATTTTTTTTATTTTTTATTTTTTTCAAGTAATTGATTTTTCTTCATCAAATGTCTATTAAACGTAGCAAAGAGAAGTTAACCGTTAGCCGTAGGAAAGCCAAAATATTAACCGTTAACCGCTACTGCCTCCGCCCTATAACAATTTTAGTGTTTTCTCTGTTCGAACTCAAAGATTAGCGGGAGTGCTTGTTCGCAGGGTATCCCATATCTTGCTAGTTATTATTGCCATGACTAAAACTTGTCACTGATGAATTGAAAAACTTTGATAGAGCTAAGGTGTATCCTCTCCAACTAGTGTTTTTAATAGAGACGTTCACGATCAGGCAAGAGGGGTCCACTCTCATCCTGTCCCTGACTTTCTGCCATTGTTCTCTCTGACTCAAACAACGCAGAACTAAAACTCGCTTTAATGACCCTCCAACGGTCAACAATTCTAAGGACACATTAAAAATAAAACAAGGGGACAAGGACAGGATGTTCTGATGTATTCTTCGTACTATTTTTGACCCCTAAATAAAGGCGATCGCCAACATCCCCATGCAAACCATAATAATATTTATGTTACGCAACAACGATTGATTGATTGATTGATCGATTAATGACTGATCGATTGATGGATTGATTGATTGACTGAGTGATTGACTGAGTGATCAATGATTGATTGAGTGATTGATTGATTGATTGATTGATTGATTGATTGATTGATTGATTGATTGATTGATTGATTGATTGATTGATTGATAATAAGAAAGCATTTCTGTCATTTCTCTTTATTCTTTTACAGCCTTTGGACTGATAGCAGAGCCTACCTCAGGAAACCTTTCGGTCTACAGTGGATCCAAAGTTCTTTTAAGGTGTACTGACAAAACATTGAGCTCGATATCTACTTTGATCCAGAGTTTGATTTGGACCAAAGATGAAGTCACAATTCCAGCGCATGATCTGCGGCTTAATTCGACAAGTGGCACATTGTTGATAGAACAAGTCCGAGAAAATGACACGGGCACTTATGTCTGTACAATAAGAGCTGCAGGATACTTGAGCATCCGTAGCATTATACTTCATGTTATAGGTAAGCCAATAAACCTCTCTTAAAGGACATCTCTACATATATCAAGTGTGCCCATCACCCCCCCCCCCCCCCCTTTGTGATAAGAAAAATCCGAGAAAATGAACCGGGCACTTCTGTTTGAAAAATAAAGGGTTAAGGATAATTGAGCATCCGTAGCATTATACTTTATGTTTTAGGTAAGCCAAAAAACCTCCCTTAAAGGACCTCTCTACATATACCAAGTGGGCCCATCCCCCCCCCCCCCCCAGAACGTTTCTCGCGGCGTTTAGCAAGTCGTGTATCCCCCGGGCAGGGAATTTGTCCTCTAAGGTCTTTTCCCCGGGGTTGAAGAATTTGTTATTGTTGAATTTCTCTTTTCTCATCCAATTCTAGATCTTCGCAATGCGATTAACCTTCTGGCCACCGCGGGTTTATGGCCAATTAGCTTTTTAGGGGGGATCGCTGAAAACTTTGGAAGGATTCAGAGAGGGGACCACTCAAATTTGCTTGGAAAATGAAGACGTGAAGGGGGGGGGGATCGCGCAAGTCATCAAAAGTTATTAGGGGCGATCGGCTAAATTTCATCTTCTTTAGCCCCAAATCCTCCGTCCCCACCACAGGCGATAAATAATGACCGGTCCCTAAGTACCAGTATGTTTTCGACCATTGATAAGAACATTCACAACCACCACTTCATTTCAACAGACTGTAACTACACCATCCCTTCATAACCAAATTAGCACTCCCAGCCTTCCACAACTACCTCACTTCAAGACCTAAAATCACTTTTACCTTCCAATAAAATGTTACTTCTTATCGAATTCTATGAGAAACCAGTTTCGCTGATTAAGGTATTACATCTGCCATAAACCATTCCATTTCAAAATTTTATTCCTCAAATGATACAGAATTTTGCAAAAGAAAAAGTACACAGGTCTATCAAGCTTGAGCTGAGCTTTCAGAAAATTGATATTACAAACAACGCTTTAGCCATGACAATGAGTTTTTAAAAGGACTTTGTTGCAAGTAGAACTTTTACAACAATTTTTTGTACCTTGTGCTGTGAATGATGCACCACAGGAAAATGCAAGTAGGCATCCAAATTGCAAGTCCTTAACGTAGTAATCGTGTAAAAACAATTGAACTTAAACTCGCACTATAGTTCTCTGCACTTTATGCATTTTCGGCTTTGTATAGCATGTTCCGACCCTCTCGGGATGGAGAGCAGAAAAATAACCGATGGCCAGATCACAGCTTCAACCGAATTCAACGCTGCACGAGGCGCCACCAATGGCAGACTCAATTTCAAGGCTGGAGGAGGTAAGACTGGTGCATGGTCCGCCCTCAGAAATGACGTTCATCAGTGGTTGGAAGTGGGTCTTGTAGCTAAAACCAAGGTGACAGGAATACAGATCCAGGGACGACAAGACGTGGATCAATGGGTTACGAGCTTTACTATCTCCTACAGCAGCAACGGCACCACCTTTACACCTTATCAGAACAGCAAGGTATGGAAACAGATGAAAATCGTAGCAAGACAAACTCTAGCAATTAATTAAACTAATTGAATCTCGACTCTGTAACATGAAATTGTCTCAAAATATTAGTCCCACATTAAAAACTTAGCAACACTGTTACCCTCCACAAGTACCTAACTAGTTTAACCATAACGCTTCATTTATCTGCTGCAGGTCTTCAATGGAAACACGGACCGCAACACCGTGGTTTTGAACGTTTTGAACCCTTCCATAGATGCACGCTACATTCGGGTGCATCCTAAGACGTGGCGTGGCCATATTTCTATGAGGATGGAACTCTTAGGATGTCCGTTAGGTACTATCATTTTTTTTCATTTTCTTGTCAATAAACAAACAGGTTTCCACTTAATCGACAAAAGCGCTCGACTATCTCCTCGCATACTCATTCAACTACAGTTCGGTCTTATAATAATTGCCTTAGATAATCAAAGAGCCGAATATGCAATCAATTTGATAGCAAACACCGTTATGTGTTTTACCTTACCATACTTACAAACCACGGGGGCGTCGAAAATTTAAAGGGAACTACTTACAAACCAGGGGCGTAGCCAGCTTTTCGACATGTTGAAGGCCTGATCCCTACACGAGTATTAATGGGTAATTCCATATACGTGGCATGCGGTCATTTGCTGAAATCTTCGGAGAGGTGATTAAAATTGCTACCCTATCGAATTATTGGACATATCTTCATAGCCTTCGTGGACCTGAAAGTTGCACACTATTGGATGTTGCACCCCGTGACTCTTGGTTGAAATATCTTAAAACCTGGCAAAACTCCCCCATCTACTATTAGGTCTGTGTTCCTTCAATTCCAGTACAAAATGAGGAGCTTCAAAACCAACTGCTATTCGCCTGAGTGGGCTACATTCGAGAAAATCTCGGAAATAGGCGCGCAACAGATGAGGTGCATGAAGATGAATAGTCCAGGTTTCATTCAACTCCTTGGTGAGGTCATACCCGCCAACTAAGACGTAACGAGGTGACTTATCGGTGCCACTTTCACTTTGTAAGAACTGGGAAAGGCACTGACGCTTGTTAGATGATTTGGAAACCTCTAGAAACAAGAGGACTGAACTTCCCTTTTCGCCATTGGTAGGTCGGTTGTCAGTAACATGTATCAGTGGAGTCGGTGCTGAGATCAGTAGTTCGAGATTTAGATACAATCTATTCGACAAGCTACGCATACAATTAAAAGAAATAAAAAGAATAAGCCAGAACATTTTGAAGGTCGGGTGGTGTAACCTGAGAAAAATTCCTGTGCATACTAAGCTACCGAGATGGCACTTGCAGAGTCGTCCACACTAGCTCTATTAGGAAAAAAAAACATACTCAGTTAACAACCGTTAAAACGTCACATATCTAAGATGTTCGGCATGCATATTTTATCTGTTCGTCTCTGGATGCTCCAGGTTGATAAGTGGCGCACTTGACCGTCCCAAAGATGTGTATTGTTTCTTCTCCTGCTTTCCGTTGCTCGCTTGAAAGGTTTAATAGTTGGTCTGCCTTGACTTTATAACAGGAGTTCTTTAAATGAGTTCTGAGTTTGTTTTAACATCCTGAACAAGAGCCTTTATTCTCGCAGGCTTAATTTGGTGCGGCTGTTCAGTGGGTTAGTATAGTTCTTTCTGGCACATCGTCTCTGAGATATGGTATATTAACATCTTGGTTAGTAGGCTCCAGATAACAATTCCTTGGCCAAAATGCTCTTGGTCTTCCTCGAAGATTAGGGTTCTATCACGACAATTTGGTGGTTAGATTTAAAAGACTCACTGTGCAAAGGATAAACGCTACAGTTCTTAGTCGCCAGTTTCGCGTAACATTCAGTAAGTCAACGGCATTCAAACGTTCATGATCCTTGTGGATCCTTATGGAGATGCGTAAGTGCATGTCCACCTGGGGATCTTCTTTTATCGTTGTCGGTTTTTTAGTGTTCTCAATGCACTCTCACTGAAAGACCTATCTCAGACTGCAGATAATTGACAAAGTTAGAAGTGCTGTAAATGCCCACGATACATTTGGGTGGAACTCTTGAGGACAACAATATGGAAGTGTCTCAACAATTTACTGGTGGCTTTCTGATCATATAGTGCGTTTTCCATCACAATAATTTCCTTTTCTGCAGTGGTCGAATGAATACTTTCTGAAATCGATCACATCTCATACGCAAGTTCAATTTTCGACTTTATACTGGGAAGCGTAATATTGATGAGTCAAGCAGACAGAAGAAATTGTGGGCCCGAGCCTACGGACCTGTAGGCTGGCAACGCCCCTGCAAACTAATGCAATTTTACAAACAACGCTTCAGCAACAATAACTGTGTTACAAGTGGCGTCTTTAACTTTCATTTCCCTGCAACGTGATATGAAAAATACGCCACAAACATACACAAGTAGGCATCCAAATTAAAGTCCAAAAAACACCTCCTGTTATAACCTTGTAAGACAGTTCTCGCTCAGCAAGCAAAAAGCGCTAACACTTTCAACTCTGGACAGAACGATTCTACGACATCATAAACTTAACAGACGCAATTGAGCTTAAACTTGCACTATAGTTCCTTGCAATAATAATGTCCTCTCTGTGCATAGCATGTTCCGACCCTCTCGGGATGGAGAGCAGAAAAATAACCGATGGCCAAATCACAGCTTCGACCGAATTCCACGGGGACCTTGCATACGGCGCCAAGAATGGTAGACTCAATTTCAAGTATAAAGTAGATAAGGCGGGGGTACGTCAGTCTGGTGGCTGGACCTCCCAAGTACGTGACGTTCATCAGTGGCTACAAGTGGATCTTGGAGCCAAAACCGAGGTGACAGCAATACAGACCCAGGGTCGACAAGATCGCTTTCAGTGGGTTAGGAGCTTTACTATCTCCTACAGCAGCAACGGCACCACCTTTACACCTTATCAGAACAGCAAGGTATGGAAACCGTTGAAAATCGTAGCAAGACAAACTCTAGCAATTAATTAAACTAATTGAATCTCGACTCGGTAACATGAAATTGTCTCAAAATATTAGTCCCACATTAAAAACTCAGAAACACTGTTACTCTCCACAAGCAACTAACTAGTTTAACCTTTTAAAAATACTTCATTTATCTGCTGCAGGTCTTTAATGGAAACACGGACCGCAACACCGTGGTTTCGAACGTTTTGAACCCTTCCATAGATGCACGCTACATTCGGGTGCATCCTAGGACGTGGCGTGACCGTATTTCTATGAGGATGGAACTCTTAGGATGTCCGTCAGGTTACTACAATTTCTTTTTCCTTTTCTTCAGTTGTCAATAAACAAACAGGTTTCCACTTAATCGACAAAAGCGCTAGACTATCTCCTCGCATACACTCTGTCTTAATCGTCTTGGACAATGAAAGAGCCAAATATGCAATCAATTTGATAGCAAACATCGTTATGCCTTTTACCTTATCATACTTACAAACCAGTGCCGGATCCGGACCTTCAGATAAGGGCGCGGGGGGGGCGGTCTCCAAAACATTTTTTTTCATTTTGGTCTAAAAATAAGGGGGCCCACCCCTCCCCGCGTCTTCAACTTTCTTTTACATCACGTTTCTTATCTACCCAAAAGCTATCTATGGACAAAGAAAGTGAAAGAAATCTATTTTTCAACTCTTGCCACGAAATCAGGATTTTGCTCGAGTTTTCCTGACCTTCGCTCTTAAATATTCTCGAAAGTGTCGTTTGTTTGTCACAAACAACAACTAAGTTTGTACTTCTTACCATTTTGAATCATATAATGTTCATCCCTTCTTTTAAAAACGGCCTTAGGTTTTTTTCTTCTGTGATAGCAACTTACTTCTTCTTCAACAACAGTGCAAAAACGAATTGACAAACAGGTTTCCGCCATCGTTTTTTATGCGAACTAATCACAGCACCTTTTTTATTCGTGCTTCGCGCTCGAATTAATTTTTTAACCTTGATAAAACACTGCAGTTTGTGTTCCCTCCTGCAAAGACCATAGCTCTTGAACCAATAAGCAGGCGCACAGTCACTTAGTTATTACAGTATAAAATGTTATAGACCTTAGCTCTCGACCGAAGAAAGGGCGAGAAATTACTCAGTTATATTGTATAGAAGCCAAATGAATCACTCACTCCATAAATGCATTTTACTTTACTGTTAATAGCTGGCGCTCCTATTGACGGTGGATTGGGAGAGTGGAGTCAATGGTCACAGTGTAAACCCCCCGGTATTGCAAGTAGAACACGATTGTGTAACCGACCACCTTCCGCGAAGGAGGTGCAATCATGTCGGGGTCACGTATTTGAAGCACAGTTTTGCCTTTTTCCAGGTAAGTAAATGTGAGGTAAGAAAAAAAAGGAGGAAGAAATTCCACCTTCTTTTATAGGAACAACCGTGATTAAAAACAGAGAGTGACGTTATGCCTTTTAAACCTGTATACACTAGGTACAACATTTAAATTTACCTGCTCCCGACTGGGACTCTTTTGGTTAGAGAGCTCGAAGATCTAATTTGGAGGTCAATGACGAGACCAATCCTCGCCCAGGCCAAAAGTTTGTAAACGTTACGTTCCAAGGCAGTTTTAGAAGGATTTTGGCATTTGAATAATACTTAAAGAAACAATGAGCTAGCATTATATTGTGCAGCATATTTCCATAAATCAAGCACAATTTTCGGCATTCAGAAAAATACGAGCTGTCAAAGCATACCTACATGACTTTGTTTATTACTGGTGCAGAGCTGTACCTAACGAAATTTAAAAGAGAAGAGGGAGCTGTTACAGACCAACAGAAGCCCCAAACAGTAACAGTAGGGCCATTTATACGAGGAAAAATAAGACGCGTCTTACATAAGAGGCGTCTTAAATAAGACGCGAACTTTCCGTATAAACGGCACGTTTCGTCTAAAATAAGACGCGGCTTAGCTAAGACGCGCCTTATTAGATAATACATGCTCGCATAAATGGTACAGTTCGTGTCTTATTTAAGACGCGTCTTATTTTTCTTCGTATAAATGGCCCTATTGAAGTCTTGCCAGCAGACAAGGAGTCCTTTTGGACCTAGAATAGAATGAAGCCTATCGCAAAACATGTAGAATCTGACGATTAAGTGAGATGGGAACGAATAAGTCAGAACTTAAGTAGTTTCGATACAGTTTCATGAAGATAGCCTGCATCGCAGACTCCCGCTGAGGTATACTAGAAACAGTTCTTCCTTTAAGTCTTTTTCGAAGACTAGGGATAGGTTCTGAAAGCGGCTGCGGGTGAGAGGGTAACCATTTAGATTTTTGGTACCACTGATTCGAGAGCAGAAAGAAGTGGCTTATGCCGAAGGCTAACCAAATAGGTCTACTTTTTATTGCTGTCAGGTACGTATTGAGAATGCAATCAACAGGATTATGCCAGAAATAGATTGTACGGATTTTACAATGGCTACTGTAACATTCGCTAATCTTTGTAAGTACGTTTTTTAGGGCCATGGTTTATTTAGCTAAAACCGTGGCCCCAAAATTTTCTCACGCCTTGCGTAAAAATTTCACAGACGCGCCTGTTCCCTTTCGTAAATCTGGCAAAACCTTCAATGTTTGCGACCATCACTATTTTTAGTCATAAGCTGCTTAAATACAGGTGTTTAGTGTTGTAATGTAAAGACTCCCTAAAGAAGTCTACTTAAATACATAATAGTTAGACGAAACGCTTAGGAGAATAAACAAGTTTTACAGCGACAGTTCGCAGAAGCCTCAGTGGTTTAGTTTAAAAGTTGAAAAAGAAACGAAATTTTAAAAAAATAAAAAATAAAAATTTGAAAATTGTATCGAAAAATGGAAAAAAATTTAAACGATTGGACTATATTTAATGGTCTAGACGATACGTGGGGCGGCTGCAACGCGACATATTTGGAGACCGTCCCGATATTTTTCAATCGCCTTCATTAAAAGTGATTATCGTCATAAAATTTTCACCACTGACTGATCTTGGATTAAAGATTGTAAAATGTAGTTTTAATTAAAATTGCTCTTACCATGAATAGGGTATACAATTTCAACATTTAACGTCTTGAACAGAATGTCGTTTTGAAAAGGAAACCTTTAGAAGCGTGTAAAAGTTGTCTACATCTATGGTAGCAACATTTCCTTCAAAAATCGAATTCCATGATCGCAGTCGAACTAAGAACACTGGTCCTTTTCCCGCCCAAACGAAGGTGTTTAAAGCAAAGTACCTGCAAAAAAATAAATAAAAAAAACAATGTTTCTGTCTCTAGTGTTTGCCCGCTTTTAAAGTGTCAGCAGCCTCTAGTATGTGGAGTACGGTGATTCGTCGACGGAACACTCCTTATGTCGTCTTTTGTCAAGAGCGGAAAGGAGCAGCGCATCTCTTCCTTTGAATATATCTTTTATCCGTCCAAGTTTCCAGCGTAGTCTTGGAAGGCGGTCATCACTCACTGGGACTACGTCCCCAACTTGTAAGGCAGGAGTTATTTGTGCCCATTTCTTGTAAGCCGCCAATTGAGTCACATACTCTTGTGACCATCGTTTCCAAAAGCTATCAGCCATCTTTTGACGATTTCTCCAAGCATGAAGAAGATTCTTTCTCGAAGAACTGCCTTCCACATCTTCTGACTTCAAATTTACTGCCTGGAAGGGTCGATGTACGATAATTTCGGCTGGTTTGAGTGGGAGCGGGTCGCTTGTGTCGTCGCTGCAATGCGTCAAGGAGCAACTGTTTATTTGTGCCTCGACTACTGAAAGTGTTGTCCTCATTTCTTTTTCAGTCAACATCGCTTTTCCAAGCGTCTTTTTCAACGGTGTCTTCAATAACTTCACCAATCTCGCATAAGATGCCCCCTAGTGATGTGCGAGAGGGCAAATGAACGATTTAAAATCACGTCACGGTAAATTCCAATGCTTTCACGTGCAAACTGCGTGACAATACAACTCACAGTAAGGGCCTGATCACATGAGCCGGGCTGGCTAGCGCTGCCGAGGTGACTTTTATCCCGGTGTTACATGAAAAGGGCAAACCCGAAGCCGCTATTTTTATATAGAGATTGGAAGCAATGTGCATGAGCAGTGTGTTACCCGCTGTCCTGTTCCTCTCTTGGTTCATTCGCCGGGACGCCCGGCAAGCGTGATTACTTGGAAAATTTCCATCCGGAATCCCGGCATCACAGTACTGGGATCCCACCTAACCGGGCGTTTAACTAAAATGTCGAGATCTCTGCAAAGCGAGATAGCCCGGCTCATAATCAGGCCCTTAGTTCTATAGCCAGATTTTTACCACTTGACCTCACCGATTTTTCAAAGCCCCCCGAACACACACACAAAATTTAGCCTCTCCCCCCGCATCAACATCCTCATACCCCCTTCTCTATATCAAATGAGCTTTCCCTTATTCACGTTCTCTTCATACAAATATTATCAAAAATAACCGAAAATCAATCCTAACCAGAAAGCCTAACGTTTAAAATATGCACAAGTATATTTTCGACTATTGATAGGATCTTTCACAACCAGCCACTTCATTTCAACAGACTGTAACTACACTATCCCCTTATAACCAAATTAGCACTCCCAGAATAACCTCACTGTAACACCTAAAATCACTTTTACCTTTCAAAAAATATTATTTTTTGTTACTTTATATTAAATTCTACGAGAAACCAGTTTCACTGATTAACAAACTACAGCCATTACCTTACCAATCCACGTCCCATGAAACTCCACGCCTTCCACTTCACTCATCTCAACCAACCCCTAAGATATACAACGCTACTGCACTATACACACTTTCCTATTACACATAAAAAACTTCACACACGTCTAGTACATCGACGCCCAAATATACGCTCCCACAGCGTCTTATTTAGACACCATAATGGCAATTATAGCCCCGACTAAAAAACAGTAATACCCATTTTTCTTATTGCGGGCGAGTGAAAGCAAGCCCGCAAACGTATTCTTGGTTGGGGTGTCAGCGGCACTTTAAACTGTAAAGCGGGGGTGTTAGCAAAATCTGTCCACATTCTTGGGATGCCTTTGTTGTAGTAACCAATATGCATGGTATGTGAGCCGCGAAGGTCCTGATGTTGAGTTTAAGGTCCATCAATCTTATATCCCTGCGGTAATCACGTGAATGTAAATTTCCGAAGCACAGGAATTGAAACAAGGTTTGTTCGATTCGTAAAAACATCCACACTGAACTGAAGGGTCGTCAATCCCCACCATCAAACAAAAACAATTGGTTCTTCAACTAAAACACTTTGTTTTTACTACCCTGCACCAAATTTTTAGCTTCTGAAATTATCACAATTAACGTATCACCCACATTTCTAATTTTATTTTCACCTTTACCAACTGCTTTGTCACCGAGAAAAAAAACTGTTATATTTTTTTATATATATTGCCTATATTCGAATGCAAAGAAGAATACAATTTTTTCCCTTTTACACTAAATACAGCTAGAGAGAATGATGAAACGGCTCTAAAAAAATGAATTTGCGTCCTTTCAAACTTAATCGCGTCTATCTGGACCCGCTCAGTCTGTCAAATGTGGGCGATTTTCCCTAAGTTGAATCGTCAAGGATTTTTTCCTGGTTTAAAAGGAGAAGGAAAATTCCTCTTCGTATGTTTACGTTCTCCATAAAACGTCGCATTAGGAGGTTTCCTGTCGTAGTCGTGCAGTAGACTTCAACGAAATGTACTGAAAAGCGTGTTGCAAGTGCAGAGCTATTGTTTTGCTCATAAAACCAATTATTTTTTGACGTTGTCGTTGTCGTCGTCGCTGAAGAGCACCAGAAGAGGACGATGAAGACGACGAAATTTTAAAATATTTTGAAATTGAACAGGTTTTTCTTTTTCAGCAAGAGATGGCCTGACTCGAGCTATCGGAGGTGGCTTATTACTTCTCTAACTCATTAATAATTCCTAAAGAGAAAACAATGAAAATCATAACCTTGACGGTCGTTTGGATATCGGATACTAATTACCATAATATTTTGCGAACTTTATCTTTGAATTTCTCCAAGAATTATTGTTCATTTATGAAGCTATATCAAAAACGCCACTTAATGTTTCATCCGATATCCAGACACCTCGAAGTCAGTCTTAAAAAACTGGGCCGTGCCTCGTTTTTTAACCCACTTCTCGGTGTCTGAATGTCGGAACATTGTGTGTCGTTTTGGATATATTACTTATAACTCCCTTTACACTGGAGTGCCTACTTACTTTTGACAGTGGACAGCAAGTTATATTTATCTTAAAAGAACACTCTCGACTAAAAATAGATTGCGCGCAGTCTCTCTTTTTCTTCAGATTTAGTAAGGGGAGTGCACGCACGCGCG